CTACACAGATGGACAGTGATTGTGAAGGGGTATGTGGGTGGGACTTGGTGAAGGGGGGAACATAGTAAACATAATGTTCTTTCTGTAATTGTAGATTAATGATACCAAAATAAAAAAAAAAAGAATATAGCATGCCCAGAGGACTGCCAACATTTGTATCCCTTTTGTCTGTCTCCACCTGGTCTACCTGCTGGCTCTCTTCACTTAGCTACTGGGAATCTGAGCACAGAGGCCTGTTACTCGGCGGGGTGCCTGTGGCAAGTGGCATGGGGCTGGACTGGCCAAGGCATCACCATCTGTGGGCACAACTCCAGCTGCCGGGAGAGCACTGAGGAAGGTAACGACTCAGCACACTCTCCTCGGACAGAGTAAGGTGCATTTTATAATACGTTTTTGGCACAACATAGTAGTCTTTTTATCTAGACAAACTCACTTAAATCAAGTTCACATCTTTTTTTCTTCTAACTTATAATTTTATTAAATTTTAGTCTAAATCGGGGGGTTGGCACACTTTTTCTATAAAGGGACAGATAGTAAATATTTTAGATTATGAGCACACAGTCTCTGTTGCAACTATTCAACTCTGTTCTTGGAACACTAACACAGTCATGGATCATAGGTAAATGAATGGATGTGGCTGTGTTAAAATAAAACTTTATTTATAAATGAGCAGAAGGTTGATTTGGGCCTTGGTCAGTAGTTTACCTTGCCAAACCCTTGTCCAAATCATCTTGACAAATGTGAAAACTTTAAATTTCAAAAAAAAAAGCCAGGTCCATGTTATTTTAAACAAAAGCCCAAATTCAAGTAGTTATATCAGAATATTGCCTTCTAGGCTTTGAGCTAGTATAAAGCAGAATTACTTCAAAATAATCTAATAGTAGCTGTCTTAAGTCAAAATAAATTTCTCTTACCTTAAAGACAGCTTTGGTAAAGATTAAATAAAAACTACTGCAGCATTTTTTGCATATAACAGAGAAGCAATATAGCTTGACTATTAGTCATAATAAAAGCTAAGAGTCATAAGGACAGATGGAGCGATGCACCTGTGAAAGAAAAATATAGACAAGCAAGAGTATCACCCAAGCCCTAGTTCTCCCCCACCTTTAAGCAGTTACCTCCCTAAGCCCTAAAAACAATAAGTTAATGTGGTTCTCTTCACAACAGTCACCAATCACTAATATCCCAAAAGTTTTCAGAACAACTCTTAAACTGAAGCATTTACACATCTTTGCTTGTGGTGGGTATAACACACTAGAACTCTCTCTTGAAAGTTCAATGTGATTATGGCACACAGAAAAAATACAACAGATTCCTATCTTCTCAACCCTAGACTGAATAAGCAACCTTACATGTGACTTTTAATTTTAAAATGTTAGTGGATTCCAAAGGAGGAAGTAAGTCCATTTCCATCTATATAAGCTTTATAAGATATGATGTTAAATAGGTAATCAGTATAATGTCTTTACGAATTCAGGTAATTCAGAATTTACAAATTCTAGGTAACAACCACTTCAGTACTAAACCATATCTGGTATACTTCAACTAGTTCTTGTACTCATGTGAACTATCACTGAAATTCAATGACCTGTAGTCTATGCAATATAAACAGAAGACTGGCAAAAAAAAAAAAAAAAACCCCAACAGAACAATGATTCAAATACAACAAATTCAAATCCTCTGGGATTCCACCTCCTTTATAGTGAAGTTTCAATTCAACAAACATGTATTAAGTGATGTGCAACACAAAAAATTAGGTGAGGTACTAGAGAAACAATGTGAATAAGCCTTTGGGAAGGCTGCATTCTTTCCAAAGACACACTTAAGCCAATGACTAAAATAGAGTAAGGTAATATGACATCAGAAGTATGTGCATCCTCATATATACATAAATATGATAAACATCTCAAACTGACATAATAGGCCACTTAAAGAGAATACAGTCAATAGATCAAACCATTGCTTGCCTATCAGATCAGTATATATTAAAAGGCTAGTGACATCCATTGTTGGTTGAAGGTATGGGGAAATGGCCAACTCACTTATGCAGTTACTGGATTACGTTTCTGTAGCACAATATAAAAGGATGGTTGTTTAAAAGCCTTTAAAATTGCATATTCCTTGACTTAGAAATTCCACTTGTTTTGGTGAATGAGTAGACTGTAGTTTCACTAACCAAAGGAAAATACACAATAAATTCAACTTTAGAAAAATGGTAACTTTGGATTGATAGGATAAATTTTCAATTCCTACAAGATCTTCAGGGAGAAATGTCTAGCTGCTGGACATCTATAATAACTAGCATTTACTCAGAATAATAAAGTTCCACTTCCTACCCTTACAGAGCCATAATAAATACAGATAGGAAGACAAAACATTGCAAGATGGTATGGCAGTACTAAGAGAAATAGCTAAAAGGAATAATACTGACCCCAAAAGGGGAGCACAGTCAATTCTCCATTGGAGGAAGAGTCACCGAGGAAGTTCTAAGAAAGGAGGACAATGCTTGATGATGATTTTGAAGAATAAGTTAAAAAAGAAAAAACTCCCAAGTGGACAAGGGAATCAGGAATGGAGGGCCACTCCAAAAAAGGGAAGTTACTTTCTAGAAGCTCCAAGACCCAAAACAGCAGTCAGTTCCAAGAAACACACATAGGTCGCCATACGGTTAATAGTGCCCTTCAACCATACCAGTCTCAAGCCCCTACCCCTAGACTCTCCAGATGCCAAAAACAAGACAAAGAAGAGATGAGTCTCATTTCCCAAAGAGAGAATCTATGCCTCCAACCTGCCCTCCAGACAGACAACTGGAAAGGGCCAGGGTAGCCTCCTTGCCAATCAGGAGGAGCAGAGACACAGGGAACACCTACTAAAAAGAGCTCCCCCAAAAGCATCACCACCACCCACCTTACCCAGCCTTGTTTTCTTGGTGGCATTTCTTACCACCTGAAATTACAGTCTTTTCATTTTTTTCTTTATTTCCTCTGTCCCTCATGAGAATATAAGCTCCAAGGGGCCATAGGCCTTGTCTGTTTTATTTGCCACTTTATCCTCAACAGTGCCTGGCACAAAGAAGATACTGCAAATATTTGAATAAATGAATAATTGTCTTATATTATCCAACATGTAGCAGATTTTTAAAATTTATACAAATCAAGATAACATTTCACTTTTATAAGATACCCAATTTTTTCATATTTAATAGTATTTTCATGCCCTAAAGAAATTTTCTAATGTTCTAAATAGTATCCTTAAGCCCCCAATTTTTTTTCACTATAGAAAACATTAAAAATAAAATACGTGTCCAAAATTAACACCTGAAGGTTTAACTCTGCTCTACTGCCACCATGTGATTCCATTACAGTATCTCTGGACCATGAGAACAAACTAGCAATAATGGATAAAGTGCTGTACCAAATACAAATTGATGCTTTGTTTCAATAAAACATGCCTAAGGAAGAATGGAAGGAAGTTATTACATGCTTAAGGTCCAAGGTCTGTGAATAAAAATATCTATAGTAGAAAGAAAAAAGTGACTAATGTTATTTGGAAACAGGTAAACTCATGGTATCCATAAGAAGGTCACCAATTTTTAGAAATTAGTGTCACTGACGGTGGTAAAGTCCTGGTGATGAGGCTTTGCCAAAACTGCATGTTATAAAAAATGTCTGGGAAAGTTAATATCTTCTGGAATCTGCTTATCCAACTGGCCATTTCCACATAGGGTTCTTCTGTGACACCTGCCACTATCTTCAGAATCATAAGTTTCAGACTCCTTGTAGTCACAGATGGGATGGTCTTTCTCTAGCATTTTAGGCTTAAGAAAAAAGGAGCTAATACCACAAGTTTACCAATGCCATCACTAGCCTGAGTAAAGGTTTTGACACAAAATAGTAGAACAGTATTCAAGAAGCAATGTTAAAGTCCGAATATTGTGAAAAAATTTACTGTTACTATGAATCTACTTCAAGATTAACAAAGGTTCGAGTAAGTCCTAAATGTTGCCTTGCCAAATCCATTTCTCAATATAAATGCCATGTACAATTACACAGTGAATCCACTCTAACCCTTTTATATGGGAGTTACAAAAAGAAGCCTTTAAACCCCTCTAGGGATAAATTTATTTCCCCCAGCCAACTGTTAACACCAATAAATGGAGGATTTACATGTAATCCCTAAAAGCAGATAGGCAGAAATTGCCAACCATGCTATGACTTCTTAACTAAGCATTTTATTCAATCCTACTTGTATAATTGGCAATTTGAAAGGCATAATTTTTAAGAACATGAGACACAGTATATCGTCCCTGATATTTGAAAGCAAACTTTCGAGAACTGTACATTCAAATAAATGTTCTAGGTTTCTGCTTTTGTTTATTTTTCAGGGCCATCACAGGAAGTGGCTAAATAAATACCTACTCACTCAATACTGTCATTTCTTAAAATATGTAGTACCACATGTCTGGGAACTCTTTCAAAGTCGGTTCATAAGCTATGTCCTCTCTATCTATGTACAAATGGACATTACACTAAGAAAGCATCATTTACTCATAGGCAAAATACAGTACAATAAATGGGCTAAAGGATAAGATTCTTTTCATTTGTAGTAACTGCTCATTGGCAGCCCAGCAACCCAGAACTGCCTTCTCTTTCCTGATCAAAGATGAGAAAATGCTACCATTCTTAAACTCACCAGCCAAACACAATCAGTACTAACACTTAGATCTACTAAAATGGTCTCCGGCTAAATCTTCTTTTAAGACATCTTCCACCTTCCTTCCTGTCTTCCTTCCACTTACTTCCCTCCGTCCTGCCATACTGAACTATCCGGACTGTCCGGAGCACCGTCACAAACCCGTTTCTGGGGGACCTGAGCCTGGAATTCCGGAACAGAATCCCTCGGGCACTCCCAGGACAAAGCGGACCTCGCTGGCTGCCGTCCGCAGCGCAGGGGTTGCACGGGCTTCCCGCGGGCGGGGCCACCTGAGACACATCACTTACTGTGCCGGGCATGTGGCTTCTCTCGTTCTTCCCATTCTGAGAGCTGCCGTTCTTGAGTTTTTTCTTCTTTTTGGCAGTCTCTTTGTGCTCTTTCTGCTTGTTCTGCACTTCGATGAGGACAGAGATAAAGCTGTTTTTCACTTCCTTTTCAAACTCCAGTTCATCTCGCAGGGCCAGTTGCTGCACCAGCTCCTCGGAATAGTCCTTAATGGCAGTCTCGATTTCTTCCAGCAGTTCGTTTAATTCAGACACCGAGAGCCTTTTTACTCCTACGACCAAAAGCAAAAGCATGGCAGATACTAAGACAAAAAATGTTTCAAGGGGGCACAATGAAGTGTTTTGTGACAAAGAGCAAAAATCATATTCTAAGCATTTAAATTATTTGTGACCTTCTCAGAATCTTCAAACTGCTGGTGGGCAGGTCTGAGTAGAGGTAGGTGCACAAAGTCCCTTCTCAGTATGGCCGAGAATAAACATATAACAAAATTTACTTTTCTAAATCAATTTTCCCATGATTTGTACCTGAGTCAAGACTGAAAGACTTATACAAGGAAAAGAACAAACACAAAAGCAGAAAGTGAGTCAGAAACTACCTGCGGACAAGAAATCACAAGCAATTTAGCAGGGTGCTGGCGGACTTCTGGTGAGGCAAGAAGTCGATTTGAAGAATGGACTGAATACATACTTAGTCACATATGCCTCTGCATGTGAATTTTCCTTAAGACTGGGAAAACGAAAGGGTCAAATAGTGCCTGAAACCCCATTTCAGTTTTTTCTCAGCATTCCCCCTCATGTGAGAGAGAGGACACCACTGAAGCCCTAACCCCCAGGACCTCAGAATGTGACCGTATTTGGGGACAGGGTCCTTGAAAGAGATAATTAAGTTAAAGTGAGGTTGTTAGGGTGGACCCTAATCTAATGTGACTGGTCTCCTTACACGATGAGAAGACCAGGACACAGACACACATGGGGGAAAGTCCACAAAGGACAGAGAGACGGTGGCCGTCTACCAGCCAAAGAGAGAGGTCCCAGGAGAAACGAACTAACTCTGCCTGCACCTTGATCTTGAACCTCAGCCTCCAGACCTGTGAGAAAATAAACTTCTGTTGTTTAACCCACCCAGCCAACCTGTGGTACTTTGTTACAGTAGCCCGAGCTGACTAACACAGGATTCAAAGGTGATGATGACACATTCCCTCAGCAAGGATTAAAACATACACTGAGTATTACTAGAAAGCCAGGGAAAGGCCTGTACACAGCCTGTGACAATCCAGGTTGCCTGGAGAAGGTCACACTGCATGGCTGGGGTACACAAAAAGCACAAAGAGCACTGACTTAAGTGGGGTTTCTTACTCTCTTCATAACTGCTTGTACTAGACCTCTTAAGAGTTTGAATTTCCTGAGAAAGCATTGAAAGCCGATCTGACTGTGTGGGTGTTTCATCATCTTCAGGGTCTGGTGATTCCTGCATCATTTCTTCAATTTCTTCAATAACCTTCCAAAATATACATACCAGTGTTAACCAAATATACACAAGAAAATAATCCATCTATAACATGGTGCTCACCTGAGGCAACCAGAGCAGAAGTGCCCTAAATTCTCTATTAACCAACAGTGTGCAAGAGTGGGTGTTCTGAATAATCAAAATTTTGATCGTAAGAGTGAACACGGTTTATCCAAAAAAAATTACAATACACTAAACACAAAATTAAACAATATGATTTAATATGTCCATCATGATTCAGTAGGCCCTATCAGATCTCGCAGTGTCTGAGAAATGGTGCTGCAAAAACATGTATAGTTTACTTCAGACACGCCCAAACCAGATCATAGAGATGGAAAGCAAATGACAGAAAATATACCATCTACCACATGCAAATGCTTAATCGAAAGCCATTTAATCAAGTTTTGACATAAAATTTAGAAAACACAACAGTATAAAAAACTTTATAAAGCAAGAAATTACCTCTACAGAGGCAAAATTTTCCTTTAACAGCAGAAAAAGATATTCATATATTAATTCAATGAAAGATAAAGGGATATTAAAAAATTACTTAAAATGTAGAAGCTCAAAGAGAAAAAAAAAGCTGCACAAAAGTAGGAAAATTTCAGAAACATATCTACTGCCATATGCAATGTTGCTCAACTCTTACAACAGTATCTTGTCCTGTTCCAGATAAAGTTAAAGATATAGAAATCAGCAAGAATTTAAGGAAAACCTGAAAAATTACTCAATACTTAGAAAAAACAGATCTAAGAGTTTTTTTTAAAAAAGCTATTAGAAAAAATACAATATGAATCAGCAAGCTTAACATGTAACACTTGTTCTGAGGAAAAACAATGTAAATCTGAAGCAGGTGGGGATTATGTTAATTAGTAAGAAGATTTTCTAAAATAAGCATTATAAGAGTACAATGAAGCACTGAAGGAGGCTACAGAATCTTTCCCTAAATCTTAAAAGCAGGGATAGCTTACGGTATTCAGGCAGATTAGTGAGGAGACAATGAATTCTCAGGCTCATGTCTTTCCCTGGGCTATCATGCTGTAGCTCCCACAGACTTCGAGTCTATTATCTTGCTTTTTAAAGTACCGCACTCTCTGCAGGCCTTGAATAATCCAGCCACAAATATAACTAAGGAACATCAAAATCACATTTTTTAATGTACTCCTTTTATACACACTTTATAATGTACTCCTCCCAACCTTGCCAAATAATACAACTCTTTACTAACCTCATTTCCAGCCTAAAAATATAGTTTGACAGCATTCACAGCCCAAGTAGCCTTGGGACATGTTGTTTCAGGAAGAAGTTCTTGCATCACATTTTAACAATACAACAGAAGTGGGAAGAGAATTCAGAAAATGGAAAAGCTGATTCAACAGGTTTTAAATGAACACAGGGCTGACACTGTTAGCACATTCCACAGGAATAAAGCTCACATCTTTCTGGAATACACAGTATGTACTAGTAATAAATACTAGTCATTTATACCCAGGGTTTTATAGAAACTAGATAATTTCTACACAGATATATTATAGTTTGCCCATGTCTGGCTAAATCTAAGGGAAGAAGAAAATACATTTTTTTCTGATTTCAATTTAAGCAATAACCCTTCCTGAGTAACTCGCTGTACTGCATGAACAATACCTATATTGGAAAACTGCCTACACTGGAAAATCTTCCAAACTAACATAATCCCATCTGCTTCAGATTGCATATATTTTCTTCTTTCCTTAGTGGAATTCATGTTATGCTTCTAGAGCAAAAAAATGTAGGAAAAACAAGTAAATTCCAACATCCCACCACTTATTGCCACAGTAAGAAATTGCTTCTCAGCTCGAGGTTCCCTTTCCTTCCGCCGATGACGTTCTCCTTTATACCTGATCCGCAGTGAGGAGGGGCTCGTCACTAACACAGGACACGATGATCGAATGCATGTCCAACTGTTCTCTCAGCTCCTCGTCGTCCGATGTATCAAAGAGCAGACTGTCACTGACCTGAGAGCAAAATGACCCGCTGTTAAAAGTGGACATTCTCATCACCACAAAGTCGAAGTGTCTAGGTAAGGAAGACTGCAGAGGGAAGCACCTGCCGAGGGCTTTCCCTCAAAAGGGAGAAATTGTACAATGCTGTGCACTGGGCGGTGTGAGAAATGCTGTACCTATTCATCTCAAACAGAAAGGAGAGGAATGTAGAATAAAAATAGGCAATTGCCAGGGTGCTGCATGTCTCTGCTATTGCCCAACGGATATACATTTAGCTCTTTTTTCCATGGGGGCAGAGTGCTATAAAAGCTGACTGATAAGTACAAAAATATTTGGTATTTGCTAAGCAGTTTCAGGGAATGATAACAGATGGAGGGTGGGTGGGGAGTGGTGAAGGGGAGTACACAGGTTTAACAACAAATGTTATTTAGTTAACAATAATAGTAAGATTGGTATGTTAAAATTCCACAAGTAACATAAAGTTAAGGACTTGCAAACTAACTTGTAATGGTCAGGGTAAAAGCCAAGTACCAACTCCCTGGAAAACAGGAACTGTCTTTAAGAGTTGCAATTAGCCCTTACAGTTGAACATCTCTTCTTCCAAAAAAAAAAGGAATTAATCTCTAGGTTTCAAAAACACCTTTAAACCTAACCATACTGGAGATTTGCCTCACTGACATTTTCTACCCTGCTCTGTGCCCTAGAAAGCTGATCTTTATGGATTACATCAAAGGATGTCCTTGACCTCTAGCTTCCAGTTGGGTTAAACACCACTGGTAGCACCTAGCAGGAGACTGGAAGGGGGGTTCTCCCACCTTACAAGACTGCCAAAGGCACAGCTCCTGTCAAGCACACCTTCCACCCACAGCTACTGTCCCCAGGTTCTGGTAATTTCTCCTCTCCTTACCTCTTCATGTCCAGGGGTGTGCCTAGTTGGCATTCCTCAACCCTTCCCGCACCAATAGATGTAGCCCCTTTAATAATGACTTAAGAGTTTGGTACTAGTACTAATGGCAAAAGCCTTACCTGGAAAACTCAGCAGATTGAAATGGACACATGATCATCTCTTTATCATCTATCTATTGTGACAGGACTGTTCAGATGAACAGAAGTGAAATGAGAACTCTCTTCCTCAGGAAGGAGTGACACACACTGAGTTCCCAAAAGAATAAAAGGGCAACAAGGAACAATGTAAGAACAACAATGTATTTCTGTAAGATAGTATATAACCTAAAAAGTAGTATTTTACCTGGAGAAATTATTTTTATCTACAAATGCAGAGGATAAACGGAGGAAACAACTGAGTAGACATAGTTCCCTAGGTCCTTCTAGTTCCTCATACAGGAGCATCTGAAGTTTAGTGGTGAATACAGCCCGCAGAGCAAGAAACCTGCAGGTGAGAAGTGCAAAAAAAACACTTGCATGCTGCCTTTCGTAACATCAGGATGGGAGAGGAACCCCATCAGCATTCCAGGGTCCATCTACTACCACATAATGCCACTCCACCCTATACCGCAGTGATGACATACCTCCTCATTGCATTTCTCACTACACTATCAGCCTAGGAAAGGCGTGGGTATGGCTTCTAGTAAATCATCATGAAACTTCAGAATACTGTGTGAAAAAAAGAACCTAAAAGCTTCCAGACAGAAAAAAAAACATCACATTAAATGCATCAGGAATCAAAATGTCATATGAACTCTCAACAGCAACAATAGAAGCTAGAAAACATTACTTCCATGTTTCAATAAATTCCTCCCTAGAGTCCTATATCCAGCTAAACTAACATATTGGGTAAGAACTTAGACATTTTCAGACATTCAAGTTCTCAGGAAGCTATTGTAGAATATGCTCCATTAAAACCAGAAGGAAATCAAAAAGAAAGCAGACATGGATATAATACAAGAAAGAGATAAAGGGAATTCTTGTAATGATGGTGAAGTAAAGACCCCAGAAGATGGCTACGAAGCCAGACTACAGAGTAACCAGTTCAGGTTAAAATTGTTACCGCAGGGGGCATCAAGAAAAGTACAAGAGAGAAAGAGAAAAAAGAGAGACTGATAGATCATCTAGTTTGTTTTACATACTAAACTGATGTTTATGGCTCTGCTAAAGCTGTATCAATGGCCCAATAATAAGCTAAACAAACCACAAAAAGGCAGTTATTATTACCCCAATAGAGAAAATTTACAAGACTATATTTAATAATAATGTACTGAAATGGGTCAACTATGAACATTTACTTGGTCAATATAAATGATGAAGATTAACTTAACCAAATATTTTGATATAATCATATTGGGAAGATGGGAAAGGGACGTTTTTGAGGGTTATGGTGTTGGGGGGTTGGAAGGAGGGCTACAAAAAAGCTAAACCCTCATCTTCTGAGTAGAAAGTAAATGGATAAAGTCCAAAGTTAAAAAAAAAACAGGTAAAATAATATGAGCAAGTTCTCTGTTAGAAGAAAGAGCTGAAATAGTTGAAAGCGGTTGCCTCTGATAAGTGAAAGTCAAGGCTAGGGTAAGTAGGGTAGATGCTGCTTTTTTCCTTTTGTACTTTACTACTTACAGTTTTTTATCCTTCTAATAATTTAATTTTAATAAGAAAGGAGAAAGGTCAAGAGATTAGGCTCTGATGAGAGACCATACTTGATTACAAGATTGTAGAAGTGGAGATGAAAAGTGACACGATGTGATCAAAGGAGTGTGTGGATCCTGTGGAGTAGACCTAACAATTGTCTTTACTGATCCTTAAATTGCAAAACCTCCCAAATCACTCTTCATTGTAACCTGAAAATCAGAGATTTATTTTTTCCCCTACAAACAAGTCTGTTTAAATTTTAAAATTACTCCTAAGGAAGACATTGTTTTCTTCTTCTTCCTGTTTCTACACCTGAAGATCTGAAAAATACATAAAGTCCCTGTCCTTGAAAAAATGCTCATGATAGAAGACAGTACAGAGATGTTTCTATGGCAAAATGATTTAGAAGCATTCTATCACAAGAATATTCAAAAACGGCTACTGGATTTAGTATAGGTTTATAGCTTATTGCAAGAACACATGAGTGATACCACTAATCATTAGAATAAATTACCATAACAACAGAAATAATGATCCCAGATCATATTTCCAGGGAGGCAGCCAAGCCCATTTCCCACAGAGTGGCAGATGCTTAGAGCTGGAATCCCTGTCTGGCTTTGAAAACTAACCTTGGCCGCCATGGGTATCATTCACTCTCCCATGCGGCACCACTGTATGCTCTCTTTGCCAAGCATGCCCATCACTCTTTCCTGTGCCAGGGTTAGATTCAGCACTGGTGGTTCTGTTAACCTGTATGAAACTGAGCTGCCTCAAATGGAAAAAATGTGCCCATGTAAGAAGTTGGAATTGGGTTAGATTCAGCACTGGTGGTTCTGTTAACCTGTATGAAACTGAGCTGCCTCAAATGGAAAAAATGTGCCCATGTAAGAAGTTGGAATGCACTAGTTAACTTATTCTAGAAAAGACCCATCAAACTGAGAAGTGTGCCATCCTAAACATCAATGAAAAAAATATTAAAAGCTGAAATATAGCAAACTGTGGTTTTCCTGAATGTTCCTCATCCTAGCACAAAAGAAATTTCTCTTCCCTTTGTCAAGAAAAAAACTTCCCTATATATCCTGTTTTACAATTGGGATAATCTAAAGAATGCTTCCAATTTTGCATAGTTCAATTTTGGAAAGAAGAATGCACACAGCTGGTAAATAAAACAACTTTCCCAGTTTAACAAAAAGTTATATGCTATCTATGCTATCTAATGGAATACATAGTTCCTTCTTGCCCAATTTTAATTCAGGAATTTAATGTGTGCTTCTCCTTCCTGAGGAATTGAGTTCTAACTCCAGTTGTATTCATCACGTGGGTAGCCATATCACGACAGACAGATGACCAATGAATGATCACTTGCCCACTTTAATCTCCTGAGTTTTCCAGGAAATATTTTTATAATAAGAACTAGTACTAATTCCAAATCATTATTGATCACTGCCCTTAGCTATACCATCACTCTGTCATTGAAAACATGGATCAAAAGGCAGAAAAAGGGTGTGGCTTACCAAGATGCAATCTAAGAACAATACAAAATAGACATTTTATTCATGAAAGTGGATTAGAGTATCCCATTCGTGTTACTACTGTATTTCCCTTTGAAACTATGAAAGAACCTTTTCTATGCTATTTTTCAATATGTCAAACAAAAATGTATTCATTGGCTACTGTGGATTCAGCACTGTGTTAAATAATACAGAAAATTTTTTTTAAAAAAAGAACTTTCCGTCATGGTCTCTGATGTATAGTTTCACTGATGATATTGTTCATTCATTCACTCAACAAACATCTGCCTCAGTTCTCATTAGGTGCCAGGCACAGTGGTAGTTACTAAAGAGACAAACATAAAGATACCTACCAGGAAGTCATTAAAAAAAGAACTTTCCGTCATGGTCTCTGATGTATAGTTTCACTGATGATATTGTTCATTCATTCACTCAACAAACATCTGCCTCAGTTCTCATTAGGTGCCAGGCACAGTGGTAGTTACTAAAGAGACAAACATAAAGATACCTACCAGGAAGTCATAACTAACAACAGACCAGAAACATATGATTAATAAGATAAGACAATAGTGATTTGAGACATGGACAAACTGCTGCGGGGATGAGTAGCCAGGAGACAACAGGGCTAAATTCTGCAGAACAGTATAGCTCTAGGGGCAAGCGTGTTCCCAGACCAGGGCAAACAAACCACTGAAACCAGTGAAGGCAAAAGGAGTCAAGGGAAAAACTATTGGAAGAAACCTGTTTATTGCTTATAAGAAAGCTGGATCCGCTCCTCTCTCTGCTGCAGCTATTCTGCTCTCCCAGTTCTCCCCATCCCGGAGCACCTGCCTCTACCCCCTTGTAAACACCTGTTGATATGGAAATAGACTAAGGAGACAACAGCTTCTCTCCGCCTCTTGTAAACACCTGTTGATATGA